GGAAGGATCGCTGGAGCCCAGCAGGTCAAGGATGCGGTGGCCGGGAGCGGCCACTGCACTCCAGTCTGGGTGACAGAGTGAGACTCCAACTCAAAAAAACCAAAAAACAAACAAACAAAAAAAAGCCAAACAAAAAACTAAAAAAAAAGAGAAAAGAAAAAGTAATTAATTCTAATCAATTGCCAACAATTAGGAAATAGTTACTGTGCATCTAGGATGTGCAAGAACAAGCAGGCAAGGTACTGTGCTGAGAGAAGCCAAGAAAGATAAGATATAGGCTCAGCCCTCACTCACATGCAAATCCTTCAGACCAAATGGTTATAATCTTATGAGGTAAGGGAACCAAGCAGTCATTATTAGAGTGGATCTATGCACGTAAAAGAACAAGCCCTCCCATGTCCTGGTGAAGGTTTGGCTGGACGTTCATCCTTAACCTCCTTGAGTGAGCAGTCAGCTATAGAGAAGCGTCTTCTAGTCCCTTGCATCTGAGCTCTGACTGGGCTGAACAGGAGAATGGGAGGCTATCTCTGCCATAGTCTGAGGGAACTCCGAGAGCATCATGTTGGGGATGCCAGTTCTCCCCCAGAGCCCAGAAGGGCAGATACAATGGGGCCTAGAGACTGCGGTCCATCAAAGCCCAGTCTTTTACCACCAAAGATCTCTTTATTACTCCTATTTCCAGCAGATCCTATATACTGAAAGTCTGTCAATTAAGCTGCAATTATTAAGAAATATGTTGCTATTCTGTTTTTAGAAATTAATCAAATACATAATGAGCTTCTGATCAGCAAGAAATAAATGTTGCCAGAGTGCAGTGATTCATTTCCACCCAAAAGCCAGGAAGTCTGTAGTTTCAAGTGCATTCCTACTGCAGTTAAAGATAGGGTCTCCATTACTTGGAAAATAATGGAAAAGAGCTTGTATGTCTTTGAGGAGCCACATAAATTGCAGAGTTGGGAACTATTCACCTAATCCAAGTCCTTCATTTTTCAGATGAGGAGAAAAAGAATCCCAGAGGATCTAAGGTAGTTGCCAAAGGTTACTGTTAAGCCGGGCAGGGTTAAGAATAATTTTTCCCTTTAAACACTGATTGCTTTAGAATACAAAGATACTCTTGTTTTCTTCAAGAGATAATGTGCAAACCCAAGCTCATTAAATCAATGTTGGACATTAAGGGAAATTCTATAAAAAGAAAAATCCTTTAAAGGTATGAGACAAAAGTCACTGCCTAATTTACCTTTTTTATAAATTCCAGTTTGAGGTGTTTTCTTACTTGGAAGCATATCTGTAATTGCATCTCACCCCTCACGCTAGTAGTGTGGGCAGAAAAGGCCATGCAACCCACTGCTGAGTGTGACCTGTCAGGCCGGGGTGGACAGGGCCCCAAAATCATATTCTTCATTCCCTGTTCCCTCTTCCCTCCCTCACACAGTCACGCCTGATCATGTCCCTGTGGAATCTGACTCCATCACTTTCCTTGCAACCACAGCCCCGGAACTCAGAACTGGGTGGACTCTACTCCTCCAGAGGCCTGGGATCAAGGACTTCATTTAGTCTACAAAATCTAGTGAGGGTCCTGTTCAGGAGCCAAGAAAGTCCAGCTCCTACATTCTGCCAAGGAGGAAACTGAGGCCCAGAGAAGAGACAGGTACTTGGTCAGAGAGGAGCCCTTGAGGACACCATATCATAAAAGAGGGGCTAATGGTGGAAGCAGCTTTCTGACCAGGTAGAGAAGTGGTGACTGATTAGACTGATAGCCTGGGAGAGCAGAGAGGGTCTGGGTGGTCCTTCCCCGAGGGTCCTTCCCACAAGCCATCTATCTCTTCAGAAGTGGCTTTAGGAATGTGGCCTCTCATTTGGGGGAGGGGAGAGGGCCCATAGAAAGTCAGACAGTATCCCCTGACTCCAGCTGGGCAAACAGAGCTTTGGGGGTGGGGACAATGTTGTCAAGTTCCCCAGAAAGGCTGGAGCAGAGCAAGACAAAGGACAGCCAGACCTGGGTAGCATCAGTGGCCTGGTCCTCAAAGGCCCAAGTTGACAGTTCATTATGTGCACTAGCTCCAGCTCCTAAGAAGTTGTGCCCTGCACCCCCAAAGATCAAAAGAAGAACAGTATCTATCCCTGGCTCCTAAAGAAACAACCCTTCCCCCAAGCTACCTTTCCAGGATTAAGAATAAGAGTAATTAATGGGGATCTGAAATAGTGGCTACTTCAACAATTGATTATCTTGATTCCTCATGGTAAAACCTTCCACCTAAACTCAAGATCAATTCCCACTGGATCTTCAGAAAAGAATATTGGCCATGCTTTCCATATGTCAGGCAAACTATCCCCTTTTCTGCTCTATGCTGAGAAAGGAAGACAACCTGAGAATGACCTGGGGGAGCTGCAGCTCCCTGAAGAGATGAGAGAAACTCAGGAAGACAGAAAAAGTTGGCTAGGGAGACCCCTACATGTTAACTTTATTGAAACTGGTTACCTCATCTGTAAAATGGGGATACATAATCTCTTTAGGCTGTCGAGAGATTAAAGGATAAAGTGCCTGGTACAGTCAGCATCGAGGACCAGTTCCCGTCCCCCAGTCCCAGTCCAGATACTTCCTATCACTATACCAGGGTCCAGTAATTCAATGGAACTACATGGTACTCTGCTTTTTTGCCCAGGGCCCAGCCACCTGACTAGTATTCCAGCAGCAAGATCTGGGCATGGGGCTGGGGCCAGGCTGGGGAAGCCAGAAGGAAAAGTTGACCAGGACCACTGGTGAGGGGGAGGCAGCCTTTGGAACAGGCTGCTCCCAAAGAATGAAAACAAACCCCACCCTAGCCAGCAATGGCTCCATTCAGAAAGGACCCAGAGGGCCAGAAACCCCCTGGGGAGTTTCTATCATGGTGGGGGGGTGGCAGTGAGCAAAGAAAGGCAGGTCAGAGGCAGCATTTCCACATCTCCCTCTGAGAAGCCCCACAGAGAGAGGACCCTTGAGGTACTCAGGCCTGGGGATGGAGTGTGGAAGCTGGCCCAGCAGCTCTGAAACAAGCCAAAGTCAATTGCTCCAGTCTCAGAAACACCTGCCCAGGCCTTTCCCATACTTTCCCATGCTCACCTGGGAGCTCAAAAGCCCTTCAAAGCCAGAGGCAAATATGCTTGCCATTAAGAGAACAAACGTTTATGGGACACCTACTGTGTACCAGGCTACTCACAAGCAGGCCTTGCCATCTTTCAGTTTGGCAAAACCTGCCCGTCCTGCTTGTTGGGACAAATTCCTGGGCAGGCAACATGGCCTGCAGGTAAGACATGTGAGAGCTGGAAGAACAGCACCCTTTTTGTGCTCTCCCCCGGAAGCAGTAACATCAAGAGCAGGACAGGTCAGGGGCATCTTTTGGAGTCTCTTCCAGGTGCATCTGGAAGGAAGGAAAACCAAAATTCCCTAAGAACTTCCTTCTGGGCATATCCCTCACCTCACTATTTTCAGGACATGGTGGAGGGGACCTCACCAGGCCGGTTCTGCTATGGTATAACTTCTACTGGCTTCTGCCAATGTTAAGGGATAAATGAAATCTGAGAAGATTCAGGGAGGCCTCTGCCCTTCCCTCAGGACCAGGGGCTAGGAGAGGAGATGGAGAGGGGAACTCGAAGACCAACTCACCGAAAGGGGTCTCTGGAGGTGAAGTAAGCCGGGACTGACAAGTAACTCCCCATCTTCTTCCCACACCAGATAAACAGACTCAGCTGCAAACCCGTCTGGGAGTGCCTCAGGCAGGCTGCAGACGGCCACCATGACAGGCCCAGGGCTCCCGGCACCTCTGGCTGCGGGCAGTCTGCCCGCGCTCACCTCTCCCTCTGGAGCAGCTGGAGAAGCGTCAGGATTCCAGGCCACTTGCCCCCCAGCCAATTCCCACAGGGGATCATGGCTGGGACAGCTCCTCCCTAGTTCTTGGAAGCTCAGGCTGACTCCAGTAGAACAACCTCCCTGCGAAGGCTATATACACACAGGCATTCTTGGGCAGGGGCCGGTGACTAGCTAAGAAGCGCTGCTGTCAAGTTAGCCTTCTTCTTCAGTCCCACCCCTGAATGAGGGAGGGAGGGAGGAAGAGGAGGAGCTCCCATGGAACCGAGGTGTGTGGTTGGAGCAGCTGTTAGGAAACAGACCTTGCAGGCAAGGGGTGGAGCTAAGCTGAAGCGAGGCTGTAGGCAGGCGCTGCAGACAATAACTGGGACTGGTTAAGCATTCATCCCCAAGTTACAGGGAAGGAGAGAGGGCGAGTGCGCTGACCCCTAGGCAGAGAAAGTGCCTAAAGACTCTGCTTGAAGGTGAAGAAAAGCAGAAAATGCTAGGACAGAGTCATGACCCCAAAAGGGGAGGGGGTCTCTGGTAGGAGAGGAAGGTCCAGAGAGTCATCCTCAGCTCCAGGCTGGCATCTGCTCTGTCCTGGCGCTAGGGCCCCCATTAACCCCCTCCTTCTGTGTAGCCTGAAGATAGCCCCAAGAATCGGCCAATGGAAGCAGACTGCCACTTCCACTAAAGGGCGTGGCTGTTCTGCAGATGAGGAAACAAGGCCCAGAGCATAAGCTGACACCTGATGTGTCTGCATGTGGCAAATACTGTATGTACTCTCTTATTTCTCCAAGACAGGAATTATTCCCATTTTGTTAGCAAGGAAAGTGAGGTACAGAGAGATTTGGTAACTCACTCAAGGTCAAAAGGTAAGTCAGAGGCAGGGCTGGGTTTAAATGTAAGTCTACATGACTCCAGAGCTGGAGCTATCAGCTACCAGGCTTAATTCTGCCTCTTCAAGGATAAATATCTCTTTTAAAGCCCTCTCCAAGTAGTATGGAGTCCTGGTCACCCGTCTCCTCCCATTCATTCACTCATCCTTTATTCATTCCTGGCATACCATCTGTTGGCCTCTGTGGGCAGTGGCGCTTCTTCCACTGGGTCCAATGGTAACCATGCTTCCCAAACTGAAAAATGGGACATGATGAAGGAGAAGGCCTTGGGTGCCTATGGGAATGATGGACCTAGGTATCTGGAATGGGAGTCTACCTGAAGAGGCCCAGTTGTGAGGGTGACCAAAACAGAATCTACTATGGGGAAGTCCCATATCCCCCTGGCTGTGAAGGAAAAAGCAAGGCTGCTGGAGAAGACTGGGGAAATGCCCAGACATCACTATTGGATTTGGGGCAGTGACAACAGCTCTATCTCACCAGGCACATATTTCTTACCAAAAGTAAAGAGCCAGAAGTCACCCTGCAGTTGCTGTCTCTCACTGTGAACCATGGTGAGAGAGTCTGTGACAAAGGTGGTGGCTGGCTCATAAGGGAGCCTTTTCCAATTCCTCCAAGTGCCCACTGGACAACAATGAAGTGAAAAGAATGAATGGGTTTGCATACTGTTAATAAGCTACCATTTATTGAACCCTTAATATGTTTTAGGCCCTGTGTTAAGTGCTCAGCATCTATTACGTATCATATTTAAGTAGCCTATCATATTTAAGTAAATTTTGTTTATCATCTTCATTTAACAGATGAGTAAACAGGTGCTGAGGGGTTATGTCACTAGCCTGAATACAAACAGTTGGTAAGTGGTAAAGCTGGGTTTCAAGCTGTGTGTATAATTCTATAGCAGAGGTCAGGACACTTTTTCTGTAAAGGGGCAAATATCTTAGGCTTGGTAGGCCACATAGACTCTGTCATGGTTACTCAATTGTGCCATCATAGTGCAAAAACAGCCATATATAAAATATAAACAAAGATGTAACTGTGTTCCAACAAAACTTTATTTATGAACACTGATATTTGAATTTCATGTAATTTTCACAAGTCATGAAATATTATTTTGCTTTTTTTCCCTAACCATTAAAAAATGTAAAAATCACAGGCCATACACAACAGGCAGTGGGCCACAGATTGCTGGCTCCTGATTTAGGGCCACAGAGTTTAACTACTCTGTTTACTGCCTTTGATAGTGAAAATAGCTCTTGGCACCTATGTAGAACTCAGCCACATCTACCTACCACCACCACACAGACACTGCACTCCAGTCCCAGAGACAACTAGGGGAGAGCAAGCACTGGAAGGGAGCTCACTCTGTACTAAGCACTGCTCACAGCACCAAATGTATGAATCAATTTTAACCCATACTATAACATAGTGCTGTGATTTCCCTCTATTTACAGAGAAAGGAACTGAGGTACAGAGAGATTAAATCACTTGCCTGAGGTCACCCAGCTGTATAAGTGAGAAGCAAGGCTAGGATTTGAACCCAGACTAGACAATATAGACTATGCTCTACCAGGCTACACTGGAACTCAGCCTGGGCGCAGAGCCAGACTGTCTGGGTTTGAATACGACAATGTACTGCACGTAAGCCCTTGGCACAAAGTCTGGAACACATTAAGGGTTGATAAATGTTAGCTGTTAATATCATTAAGAGTATTGTTACAACTAGCTATGAGGCCTTTAGCAAGTCACTGCCTCTGTCTGGGCCTTGGTTAGGTCTCTAAATAGCTTCCAGCTTCAACATTTTTCAGCACTATGAAGTTGCAGAGGGCTCCCTGCTTCCCATGGGTCTCAAATTGAGTTTAAATCTCTTGAGCCAGCCCTGAAGGGATCACAGCCCTGGGGGCCACACAAGAGCCAAAGAGGAAGTGATGGAGAATGGAAGAGTAGGAATAACACGCAGGAAACCAAAAGGGCTGCCCAGCTGAAAAGCGTGCTATTTCTCACCAAAAATTTATCATGTTCCCTTGGAATTCTATCAGGCAAGAAGGGAGCCCCAAATTAAGTCTGGAGCTAGCAAATTATCTTCTAATTTCACCCTATGACTTCCATCTGATGAACACAATATGGATGGAAGAAAATGCAAGCCACAAAGCGACTGGGGCCAGGGAGCCCATGAGCATAACTCCTCTTGACATTTCACACAACTCTGCTGTTCCAGCGACGGCGGCACAGTGAGTCGGTGTCTAGGAATGTGAACAGGAGGCTGCAGGCGTTCTCTTCTCCCCCTCACTCCCCTTACAAAGGACACAGTGGATGGGTGGGTGGGGAACAAGTGAGGACTTCTCAATGCCATGAAAACTGCTTCCCTATGAAAGAGAGACAGCCGCTTCCCCATGCCCTGAGTTGAAGCGGAAGCCCCTCCCAGGTGGAATCCATTTGACCTCCATAAATACAGACTTCAGGAGGAACCTTTGAAGAACTGATCACCAGATGTGATAAGTTGCTGGCTGCTCAGACCCAAGTATGTGGTTCCTCAGAGTCAACTTCAAAGGGCCCAAACCACCCAGAACTGGGAGATGAAAAGTCACACTGGAAGATAAATGTTCCCCTCCTGCCCTTGGATACTGGGCCTGGATGGAAAGCTGCCCTTCTAGGTCTCCAGAGCAGTTGGCAGGGGATTCAGCAGTTACAGCTGCCAGCGGCAAATGCTGGGATCCTTGAACTGGCAGTTATGGATGGGACAAAATGGCAGAAGAGGTGTTAATTTCCTGCACATTTCACAAGTGGAAAGCTGGCAGGGAGCCTAACAAACTAACTCCTCAGAACCAGCTGAGACATGGGGCTTCAAGTCATAGGTAACAGGCTGGAAAACAATAGTCTTCAAAACCGACAGCCCAAAGTGACTGCTCTGGCAAAGAATGGTAAATGAATGAATCATGCCAACCTCTCCTCAGAAGGAGACTGGTCAAATCATCCAAAACCCAGGTAACCAGGGTTCCTGTGAGGCCCTCTATTGGCTCGGAGGACTCCAAGCAGGGAAGGGAGCCCTTGAGGATTCTGAAGCTTCTAAATCCTGCAAGGTAAGCATTACCACCCCCATCTACCGACTGTCTTTCCTTCTGCTCCTCCCCTCTTCCAAGTCACTTTGCACACTACAGCAGTAGATGCCTTACTGGAACCTCCCTCCCCAAACGGGGGTCCCAGCAATTCCACTGTTAGAAATTTTGCCTTAAGAGATGTGCAGACATATGTTCAAATAATACAGCACTGTTTAAACATATGAAAAGATTAGGAACAATCCATATGTCCATCAGTAGGGGTGGGATAAATACAACAAACATTCAAACAATAGAATACTTCACAAGTACTATAAAAATGAGGTAGATCCTAGGTATTGAAACAGAAATTGTACTGGATAAGATGTTAAGTGAAAAATCCAAGCTTCAGAGAGAGTATATGTTATAATCTCATTGTTTGAAAAGTCTATACATATAATCCATAGAGACCACCTGGAATACTCCTTCATATGGTTATTGCTTTCCCTTTTAGTGTAGTGAGACAAGAAGCAGGGATGAAACAGCACTCAGTTTCTACCATTTGGACACGTTAACATTTTCTAACTTTGAAGTAATAAGACAGACAATGACAAAAAGAAGTCCCATGATCTGGAGCAAACACCTCCTCACACTTTTTCTCTAGTGCTCTTGTTTAACAGCAAAGCCTGCCGGGTACACTGCACTCAGGACCCATGCTGTCACTTCAGTTTCCCTATCAGGGCTGCTGCTCAGGTCATCTCTTAACCCACTCCATTTCCTGACCAGGCCACACAAAGCTCTCCGAGCCCCCCAAACCTCTGCTCTCTTAGCTCCATCATCTCCAGCTGGCAGTTATGTTCTCCTCTTTTCCAGGCCAAGCTCCGAGTACTCATTCTCCTCTGGGAAGGGTTCCCTCAACATGTCCCCAAGCACGTCATACACAGCAAGGGCTCCCATATCGGTCTACCTTTAGATCAAACTATGTGAGGCTGGCACTGGGTACTCTCAGTGTTCAGCATAGGCCCTCTCCACATCAGGTGTCCACATATATTTAGTAAATAAATTTGATTCAGAACTCCCATTATGAGCAACAGCACTGGAACAGTGATGATAACTAGTGCTTATAAAGTTTGTTTACAAAGGGCTTTTACACTCATCTCGTTTAGTCCTTATAACAGCCTCTCAAAGAGAGGTTGTCAACACAGGCAAGACAGGGGAAACCCAAGAGTGCTGGATAATTTATCCCAATTTACAATGCTGGGAAGGGCAGGACTGAGATTAAAACCAAGGTTTGCTGAGTTCAAATCCCATGCCCTTTCCTCAACATGCACTCT